CAATATATATATATTTTGAAAAAAGATAAAACCATAACTCTCATACAGATTTCTTTTTAAAAAAGAGTATGCCTGTTTTAGTTATCTAGTACTGCTGTGACAGACATACCACAAGGGAGTGGCTTCAAGGAACAGAAATTAATTTTCTCACAATTTAGGACACTAGAAGTCTGAATTCAGGGAGCTGGCTCTAGAGGAGAAAGTTCGCCACTTCTGTCGGTCCTGGAGGAAGGGCCTTGTCTCTCCTCAGCTTCTGTGTCTGGGCTCCTTGGTCATGTCCAAGTGGCATGTATCCTCCTCATCTCTGCCTGCTTAAGCTGCTTTAGGGTATCTCAAGAGATTGAGCAAAGATCCACCCACTCATACTGCCTCATAAACAGAGCTGTAATCTCTATGGAAGCAAAGCCCAAACCAAACCCACTGCCCTGGAGTCAACTCCGACTCACAGCGCCCCTAGCGGACAGAGTGGAACTGCACCATAGGGTTTCCAAGGAGGTCATCTTTTTGGATGCAGATCAACAGATTTTTTTTTCTTCCATGGAGTGACTGCTGGGTTCCAACCACCAATCTGCCTTCATAAGGCAGCTGTAGGAGCTGGAAACTTTAACTTCCAGCTTGGACACACAGCCCCAGGGTCTACCTCGAATCTTTTCGCTCCAAGGCGTGAGAGAAACTGCCAGGTCTCCCAATCCCCACTATGCGCCCCCTTCCGGACCAGGCGTAAAATGACAACATTCGTGCTTAATTCCGTTTCCACTGAGGAGCTAGCCGTTAGTAACCAGCTCCCTGCCAGGCCGTACCATTCCAGCCAGGGGGGGGATATGTTTGGAAACGAACGGAGGGCTTCTCCTAGGGACCCCCATATCAGGACAGTCTTATCCCAACAGGGATAGAGACAGTAGATATGCGTGGGGGGCTCAGGTGGTGGGCTACAGACCCTCGCCCCCGAGTCTGGGTACTTTTCCGCTCCGTCCCCCCTCCGCTGCCGCGCGGCGCGTTGGTTCGCGCGGTGGAACGCCCAGTAACCTTCCTTTGTGCAAGCCTGCGGCAGGCGCCGCGAGCGCAGACCTCGCGGGTCTACGGTGCAGCTCGAGGCTGGCATCCGCGCCGGCGGATGTCTCTGTCTCGAGTCATGGCTCTCGCCGTTCGAGTCGTTTATTGGTAAGCTCGGTGGTGACATTCCATCTCCGCGATCCGCGTCCCAATTCCCTCCTCCAAACGGCCGGAGCTGCCTTTTGGGGGGCGCCAAGGCCTCTAAGGACCCACGGATACCCCCGCCGAAAAACGGGGGTTCCCATCTGGATATATGGGCGAAAATATGGGGGAAGGCCCTGATCCTCCCTTCCTGGCATATGACAACACACAAGTGTGTGTGTGTGTGTGTGTCCGTCCTTATTAAACACCCCGAGACCCAGGCCCAACTTCGGGGTTCAGTTTGGGGGGTCAGTACTGTAATGGGGTGCGGAACCTCCCTCCGTCTGCCCTTAGGGTTCCCCTCCCCCACTCAATTCCCAGGTTGTTACTGGGTGTGGTTGGAAGGGCCTTGGATGACAAATTTCTGGGCCTGTGTCCAATTGGGTGCGCCTCGCGGTGAACCCCGCTCCCTTTGTGGCCTCAGTTTCTCCATTTGTAGGAAGAGGGTGAACGAGGTGCAAAGACCTCGGGGTTAGCTATAATTCCCCCGCTAGAATGAAGACGCCAGAAGGGCCAGGAATTTTCTGTCTTGACTGGGGTGCCCCTCTTTTGGTCCCTGTGTGGAGGTTGCAGCCCACTTAGGGGTACCGTGGAAGAAAGGCCTGGCGCTCTGTTTCCATAAAGATAACAGCCAGGATAATGTTACAGAGCGGTTCTGCATGGGGTCGCTGTGAGTCAGCCTGCTTGACAGCAATGAGTGTGATTTTTTTTTTACTTGCCTAATAAAAATGCTGGGCACACAGTAAGCACTTTATAAATATATGTTTATTAAATATAAATATGTGTCCAAGGAATGTCCCCTCCCGAAAAGGCTATGGGGGAAGGAAATTTTAGCTTCATTTTCCAGATGAAGAAAGTAGGGTGGGTGCGGGCCAGGAGGGGCACCCGAAACCGTCTGCACGTAGTGACCATCCTGGCAGCTTGGGGTTTGGAACGACCTAAAAATCTGTCCCCGCTTAGCAGTGTCCCTGCCCACGCGACAAAGGAGAGGGTGGAATGACATTTTGAGGCCCCTAGCGGCCTGTGCACCAGATTCCAGCCCTGAAATAGCTGCGTGGGGGTTGGGGAAGCGTGTGGATTTCACCCTCTGCACCGGGATGGCGTTTGGGACCCGGGAGTTGCTGGGTTTTCCTCCCTGGGCAGCGGGTGGGCGTGGGTGGGGTGTCACGGGGCAGTTTGCATCCTAACCTGCTTTTTTCATTCCCCTCCTCTCCTCTGCCTCACTGGGGTCTCCTTGTCACCCCTCTTCCTGCGGCCTCTGTCTTTTTGTCTCCTGTGTTCGTCTGTGTGGGGGGTCTGCTTCCGTCCTGGGTCCCCGCCTCCCCCATTTCCATGCTGCTCCCTAACACTCCGTGTGTCTGATGTCTGTGTCCCTCATCATCTCTTTCTGGATACCCCTGCTGGTTTCCTCTCTCCTCTCCCGGTTCCCCGCTCCATCTCCTCCCCTTTCTCCTCCTCTGCCCGCCCCCCACATCTCTCCCTCCCTCCCCTTCTCCCCCATCTCTCCCCTCCCCTCCCTCTCTCCCCACTCCGCCTGTCTCCATCTTTCTCCACCTCCCGTTTCCATCTCTCTCCCCTCCTCTCTGTCGCTCCCCCTCCCCTGTCTCCATTCCTCCCCTCCTCTGTCTCCATCTCACCTCACCCCTCCATCTCTCCTCTCCATTCCCTGTCTCTCCCCATCTCTCCCTTCCTCCCCCGTCTCCATCTCTCTCCTCCTGTCTCCGTCTCTCCCTTCCCCTCCCTGTCTCTCCCCCCATATTTCTGCTCCCCTCCCCGTCTCTCTCCCCTCCCCCGTCTCC